CGTAAAATCTTGAAATTCGTCTAATTTAAAGCGATCGGATTGATTTCAGAGAGAAGGACATATCACCAGTGAAACGGTTTCGCATCAGGATTATGTAGGCAGGACAGGAGAGCGATATCCGGCATCAAAACCGCAAGATTCCGATGTTTTACATGGTGACGGATCCTTCATATCGGAAACACAAACAAGTACTGAATTTACAGCGAAAAAGGTGAACGATACGATGCGAAACGTCCAGTTGAATCTGATTTATGGAAGGTTTGCTTCATTTTAATTTAATAAAATCGTAAAATCTTGAAATTCGTCTAATTTAAAGCGATCGGATTGATTTCAGAGAGAAGGACATATCACCAGTGAAACGGTTTCGCATCAGGATTATGTAGGCAGGACAGGAGAGCGATATCCGGCATCAAAACCGCAAGATTCCGATGTTTTACATGGTGACGGATCCTTCATATCGGAAACACAAACAAGTACTGAATTTACAGCGAAAAAAGGTGAACGATACGATGCGAAACGTCCAGTTGAATCTGATTTATGGAAGGTTTGCTTCATTTTAATTTAATAAAATCGTAAAATCTTGAAATTCGTCTAATTTAAAGCGATCGGATTGATTTCAGAGAGAAGGACATATCATCAGTGAAACGGTTTCGCATCAGGATTATGTAGGCAGGACAGGAGAGCGATATCCGGCATCAAAACCGCAAGATTCCGATGTTTTACATGGTGACGGATCCTTCATATCGGAAACACAAACAAGTACTGAATTTACAGCGAAAAAAGGTGAACGATACGATGCGAAACGTCCAGTTGAATCTGATTTATGGAAGGTTTGCTTCATTTTAATTTAATAAAATCGTAAAATCTTGAAATTCGTCTAATTTAAAGCGATCGGATTGATTTCAGAGAGAAGGACATATCACCAGTGAAACGGTTTCGCATCAGGATTATGTAGGCAGGACAGGAGAGCGATATCCGGCATCAAAACCGCAAGATTCCGATGTTTTACATGGTGACGGATCCTTCATATCGGAAACACAAACAAGTACTGAATTTACAGCGAAAAAAGGTGAACGATACGATGCGAAACGTCCAGTTGAATCTGATTTATGGAAGGTTTGCTTCATTTTAATTTAATAAAATCGTAAAATCTTGAAATTCGTCTAATTTAAAGCGATCGGATTGATTTCAGAGAGAAGGACATATCACCAGTGAAACGGTTTCGCATCAGGATTATGTAGGCAGGACAGGAGAGCGATATCCGGCATCAAAACCGCAAGATTCCGATGTTTTACATGGTGACGGATCCTTCATATCGGAAACACAAACAAGTACTGAATTTACAGCGAAAAAAGGTGAACGATACGATGCGAAACGTCCAGTTGAATCTGATTTATGGAAGGTTTGCTTCATTTTAATTTAATAAAATCGTAAAATCTTGAAATTCGTCTAATTTAAAGCGATCGGATTGATTTCAGAGAGAAGGACATATCACCAGTGAAACGGTTTCGCATCAGGATTATGTAGGCAGGACAGGAGAGCGATATCCGGCATCAAAACCGCAAGATTCCGATGTTTTACATGGTGACGGATCCTTCATATCGGAAACACAAACAAGTACTGAATTTACAGCGAAAAAGGTGAACGATACGATGCGAAACGTCCAGTTGAATCTGATTTATGGAAGGTTTGCTTCATTTTAATTTAATAAAATCGTAAAATCTTGAAATTCGTCTAATTTAAAGCGATCGGATTGATTTCAGAGAGAAGGACATATCACCAGTGAAACGGTTTCGCATCAGGATTATGTAGGCAGGACAGGAGAGCGATATCCGGCATCAAAACCGCAAGATTCCGATGTTTTACATGGTGACGGATCCTTCATATCGGAAACACAAACAAGTACTGAATTTACAGCGAAAAAAGGTGAACGATACGATGCGAAACGTCCAGTTGAATCTGATTTATGGAAGGTTTGCTTCATTTTAATTTAATAAAATCGTAAAATCTTGAAATTCGTCTAATTTAAAGCGATCGGATTGATTTCAGAGAGAAGGACATATCACCAGTGAAACGGTTTCGCATCAGGATTATGTAGGCAGGACAGGAGAGCGATATCCGGCATCAAAACCGCAAGATTCCGATGTTTTACATGGTGACGGATCCTTCATATCGGAAACACAAACAAGTACTGAATTTACAGCGAAAAAAGGTGAACGATACGATGCGAAACGTCCAGTTGAATCTGATTTATGGAAGGTTTGCTTCATTTTAATTTAATAAAATCGTAAAAGTTAGAAATTTTTCCAATTCAATGCGATCGCATTTGTTTCAGCATTTGAAAATAATGGCGATACTGTCGGATTTTTTATTGTTTGATTTTCCATTTTATTGAAGTTTGTTTTTTTTTCGTCTTACGGTTGAATAGCCTTTTAAATTATGGATACTGATCTCGTAACCCTAATTTTTCTGTGGAGATAATAGCAGAGGAATAACTGTTCATCAATCCGAACTTACCTGATGAGATTTGATTGGGATATGAGCAGATACTGACGGATTGTTTTGTGGATAATAAAAGTTTGCGCTTTGTTAAAACTTTTGTCAGTAACGTGGACGGAACTGAAGGCGCGATAATCTCGATGAAAACTCGGTTGCAAAGTTTGAAACAAAATGTCCAGCAGCAGTGCTTAGTTTTTTATGAATTTCATAAAAAAGGGACATCACTCGTTTTCGTATCCATAAGATTCAAACGTTCTCCGTGAAAGCCAATAATTGTTTGTTGTTGATAAAATCGGATAGATTATGCGTGGAATTGGATAGACGATGGTTGATAGTGCTATGAGCAGATTATTTGAAAAATCAGTATTTTTTCTTGAGTTTCAGGTGTCATTCGAGAACGCCGGTGAGACTAATTTTTCTTGTCAGTTGTAAAGACGAATGCTTGTTTTTGTATGTCGATTCCTGTGCAGTTTTTGACATATCAGTTCCGTACTTTTAGGAGTTTGTTTGAAGCAATGAAATGTTTCCGTTTTATTTTTCCGAATCCTCATAGCAATATTGCTTCAATGAGGAACGTAGTAGTTTTTGTCTTGAAGTTGACTGATAAGCAGTATCGGAATACAATATCGGATAATTCTCTTTATATCGCTGTCAAATAATTACTACACTAGAAATAGCGAAACGCAAATGCAAAGTTGAATTTGAGCAGATATAAGGAATTCACGGAAATAAGGACAGGAATCTTCAATTTCCGACTAAATGGACTTAATAAAAAAAAAATATTACTGCTGGATTATGAAGAATTATAAAAGTTGAGAGAAAAAATAGGAATTCTAGAATTCAGGAAGAAAAAAAAAAGGAATTTAGGAAGTTCGCCTTACTTATCCATTAATCATTCTTAATTCATTTGTAGATTGACGGGAAATTTGAAACGAAAAGTGTTAGTCGGCGAGATTTCTGTCCTAAAAAAGGAGAGCGATGTGCAATTAAGAAACCATGCGATACAGATATTTTATTTGGTGATGGTTCATTCCGAACCGAAACACATTTGCAGGTTAAATTCACCGCCAAAAAAGCGGACAAATTTGAAATTGTAAGGGCTGGCAGTGCGGGAATTTGGAAAGTTAGTAATTAGGGGTCAATTCTTCGGAATTTCTTACATATTAGTGACTTGTGCAATTGTCAACTATTACTGAATGTATCACTGCGCTGTTCCAGACCTGTAATTCCTAATATCCTCATTACAGGAACAAGAAAAACAAGATGAATCGGTGAAAAATGAAGTGGTGAAAAAATGCGGCAGCAAAGGATGTACGGAAAACTTAAGAGTAGCAGATTCAGAGCGCGTTGTGTACGACATAGTGGATCGCAGCAGATCACGTACCGAGAACTGTTGGACAGCATATACGGAGACGTTTTATGAAGGAGTACCAGCAGAGGATGTTCGACGCGTTATTCAGCACAAAAATCACGAATTCAAACTTCTCGAGAGTTTGTTGAAACGTTTAATAATATGGATAGTTTCTATGGCCGGTCTTATCACAGCACGAAATCTCTGTCGGATGATTCTCCTCGTAAAGAATTTATGAATTTACTAATTAATAGCAAACAGTTGATTTGTAGGTCATCTTGAAGACCGAACCATCTGTCACACATCGTTCAATATGCCAGAAGCATCCTCGAAGGAAGTTCGGATGGCGCCAAGTAAACTGCAAGAATCAATGCTTTGGCAAAACGGTCAAATGAAAGTGGAGTCGCAGTATAATACTGTAAGCTTGTCGAAATTTTTAAGTTATACATAATTTTCAAGAGAAAATGTGCCGTGGAGAACTGTTAAATTTTCTGCATTAATGGCTTGCATTCGACATGCATTCAACATGCATGTTTAAAGCTAAGTCACAAATTTAAGTTAAAATCCTAACCCATTCTTTGCTATCAACTGAAAGATATCATGTTTAAATGTTCTGGCGTAATTGACACTTGCTTCCTATATGTCACCGTACCTGAAAATACTCTTTTCATTAATCTTCGTTCTTTGGAAAGAATTTCGATAGTTAATTTCTGATTTGCAGGATTTTGTGCCGAAGTTGAAACCATGTCCAGCTGGCGAACTGATTAAGTCGATCGCTAAGAATCATTCCTCAACAGAACATTTCGAATTCTATCGCATTCTTGGAGGTCATCACTTCTATGAACCAAAAGCTGATGATGTGTAAATGGAAGAACTTGGTCAGTTTCAATTATATCAAAGTTCCAATTCAAATTCCAATTCCAACTAAATTTTGAACTTAAAACTTAGACATACTTCTAGCATTTAAAACTTCAGCACTTTTTATATATTGCCACTTCCATTTCCTCATTATCATTAATTATTTGTTTGTGTATGAAATATTTCTTTTAAAATTTTCCTGTAAATTCTTGTTCTGAACTTATCTTTCTCAACGTATGTTCTTAAAGTCCAATGACGCTCGTCAGGTCTATATTATTGGAAATATTTGGCATCATTTAGTGATTGCTATTTCCGAAAACGATAGATTGCGTAGAGACTTCGCGAGAGTTCCAATTTCATCGACAGTAATCATTTCTTGATCTTTCTTTAATTTCTTCTTTCCAATTGATTTTCCCGCAACTACACAAAAAAGAAGTCCTTCACGTGTTATGAATGGCTTTATTGATCCTGCAGCAATCTTAGCCCTTCTCAATAAGCAGTATTGTCTGCATGGATGAAGAAGGTCATCGCTAACTAACGAGCTAAAATAAAATGAAGCCATGATAATAAGGCGTAGTTTTATTTGGAAAAACCATAAAAAGCTCAGATACCAGTACTGCTTATAGCAAGCTCTATATCCGCGCAGATAATGCTGTTGGCACATACTGTCTCCTTCTTCATTCTTTCTTAACTTTGTTTATCGTAACTTTGTGATAAGAATCCCTGGATGTATGTAATGTTATCGATATATATACACGTGTATAAATGCAAAATACGAAGATCAATAAATCGAGTCATCTTCGCATTATAACGGAATTTTCAAAGTAAACCTTAAATTACTGAATTTGAATAATTCCTCTATCTGTCATTCCTAAAAAGACATTCGTTTAGATTTCCTGATGCAAGTGACAGTTCTAATTTACACACTTAATCTACACTCAAATCAGGTCATCACAATACAAACTTCAACGGCATAAGCAATTATTTCACCCATGAAAATGTAGCTCTACACTAGAACACCAAGTTAAATAGAAGGTGAAAGAAAGGATACAGATATATAACAAAAAATATAAACAGATTTTATCTTTTTATCAGCTCTACAGGTAACATTATTAGACTGCAACTAGTTATCTCTGTATATATTATAGGACAATATAACCTGTAGAACGAGTGTCAGAGAATGGGTAAGGTTTTTGTTAAACGAACGCAGTTCCAAGAATTAGAAAACAAAGTTATTAGTTGCGATTTCTTGATTTACTATTACAAGTAATAGGATTGTCGATATTAGAATCCGATGCAAATATATTTCCATTGCGAGAATTCATCTATACCTTGTGAACCACCTTCACGACCTAAACCGCTTTCCTTCATTCCACCGAAAGCTGCCTCCGCGCAAGATACTAATCCTAAAACGACTGGATTTAATCTGAATTAGAATTTCGAAAGACATGAAATCTCTACATTTATTGGTAACGATAAGCGTGTTTAGCTATATGTACATCCAGTGATGTTATGGAACATTACAGAATTTAAGAGTAATTGATCAGCATACCTTCATTGATACCGATAATTCCAACCTGTAAGTTATGGCTAACACGTAGTATCTGAGCATAATCCGTTGTGAATATATAACCTTAAAGTTTATTTCTATCAAAAAATGTCGTTATGTAAATAATAAAGAAATGTCCCTCAATAATTTCCTACCCGACGTACATTGAAGTAAGACTGAGGTAAAATACGAATGATGTCAACAGAATACCTCTTGTTTTGCATTCAAGTGACCCGAAAATAGTTCATCTTTATTACAATCACCTCTTTATCTTTAAAATCAAACCAGCAAAGGAATGGCGATAAAATACAGTAAGTTCGAAAAACAACAGAAAAGTTGCTGATTCATTTTAGAAAAGATCAATGTTTTATCTGTAATAAAATTTAAGATATTACTAAACTAACCAGCTAGGCCAGTTCTGCAGCAGTTTGCCAGTGCCAAAACCTCTTCCTCCGTTTCGAACCTGAAATGCAGATGTTCTTCTGCGCATTATCCTTACTGATTCTGGATGCAAGCAAGAAGCAATATTTAGACTCGTTAAGGAATGCAGAGCATCGAAAGGAATGCAATTTCCATTTTCAGAAATTGACTAACTTTTGGATAGCGAGAACGGGACCAAATATTTCAGTGTGGACAATATCCATATCATTAGTTACGTTAATCAGCAACGTTGGATTGAAACAGGTTGTTTGAGAAATACGCTTTCCACCCAATACTACATGTGCTCCCTTTTGAGTTGCATCTGATAGCAAGTTTTCAACCTTTAACTTTTAATAATAGTTAGTTAAATTAAGAAAGTTTTTCATTGATCTTAATTTTTGTATGCTTCTACAAAACTGCCTTATTATGACTAAGTATGGTTAAAAACTATGTAAATTACTCCTTAAACATTAAGTTTTATTATCATTACGCAAATCAATCAATTCATAAAATTACTTTTTTAATAGCTCTTTCATTTATAAGAGGTCCTTGTGTGACATTTGGTTGCATACCATTTCCGGTAACCAATTTCGCCATTTCATGCTTAACTTCTTCAACAAAAGAATCATAAATCGAAGAATGAACATAAAAACGATTTGGAGATATACATGTCTGTCCTGAACCTCGGAATTTCGATGCTATCGCTCCCTGAAGGTTTGAATTTGAAATTAGCTTATATTTATATCGTTTATGTTTTTGTGAGCAAAATTATGTTGCATGATTAGTGCAGTTTCTATTATACAAGCAAAAATGATCTCATCCTGCATTTTTCAAACATAAAAACAAGTACTTTGTGTTTGTAAAAATATACGCAACAAAAAGAAAGCAGTGGATGAGCTGTGAAAATTAACCCGATCTGCCTTCTTTTGCCTTTTTTAGGACTAGCCTTATTCAAAACTAATATGTGAAAACTTCCCATTAATTTTAAATGAATAAAAGCAAACCTGAACTGCTGTTGAGAGATGAGCCGAAGGAAACACAATAAACGGTGCGTTACCACCTAGTTCAAGACATACTCGTTTCACCGTGCAAGCTGACTGTGAAAGCAAAAGCTGCAAATGGATAAAGCTAAACGAACACTGATTGTGATAAGGATAAGAAATTATGATCATAAAGTTTTAACAAGCATTTATGGGCCGTAATAACAGGTTGTGAAACGCTTAGATCGCTTTGGTCCAAGTTTCAATCAAATAAATGATCGATATGCGATAATCTGAACGAGAAAATATTTACGTAAAACGATTTTAAGTATCAAAAGAAGGAAAAAGTTGGCTTACCTTTCCTACTTCAGTGCTGCCTGTAAATGAAATTGCGTTGATGTCGGTTGATTCACATAAAAACTTCGCTATTCGTACCGTATTCTTCAAATCAGCTGGGACAACATTGAAGACACCGTCTGGAAGACCAGCTTCCTTAGCCGTCTGAAACCTACAAAATGCTGGGCATTGTTTCAAAGATCTCAGTCTTAAAGTTCACTATTAAGTGAGCAAAAAACTTATAAACCTATCGAAAATATCACCTTCACCATAATGACATTCGTAATTATTGCATATAATAAATCACTATCATTCTCTCTAATCACTGCTTATTTCTAATTTTATCAACAGAGAACGAATATTGGAGATGAAAAACTACAAGAAAAATAAAATAACCTGTGCAAGAGCTAAGGCTGAAAGTGGTGTATCTTCGGCAGGTTTCACAACTACTGTGCAACCAATTGCTAGTGCTGCTGCAGCTTTTCGAGTAATCATTGCCGATGGGAAGTTCCACTACAGGAAATGATATTGTGAAAAAAATCTATCTGATCAGGATGACTTTTTCTAATTAGATAATTTAATCACTCCAACTGGGACTTTATAAAACGCTTACAATGAGAAAAAGTCCATTAATCAAGATTAAGCTTTTTTTTTTGGGAAGATCGTAATCTAAAAAACTGAATAAAATGTTTACAGGTGTAATAATTCCAACGACGCCAATCGGTTCGCGAGTGTGAAAATGTACTCGATGTGTTGATATAGGCTTTACAATCTGCCCATATACTCGTCGGGCTTCCTCGGCAAACCACTTCAAAAATGATGCTGAATAAACAATTTCACCGCGAGCTTCTTCTAGTGGTTTACCCTGAAAGGTACTAAATTAGTCCATTTTTATTAATCAGTCAGGGAAGGATAATTTTTAGAGAAAGGTGGAATATAAATAGCAATGAAAAAAATGAAAAAACTGAAAAATGTAAAAGATCAAAAGAAAATGAAAAAAATGAAGTAACATAGAAATCAACAAATATACTTCTTCAAGGGTAATAAGTTCGGCTAACTCATTCTGCTTTTCCAACATTTTGCGGTGCCAGTTGTCTAGTATTGTACCACGTTCTTTAGCGGTTGTAGACGATGACCATGCGCTGTAGGCTTCCCGTGCTGCTTTCACAGACTTCAATTTTCAAATCATAGATTTCAAGCATTAGATTCATTATACTATTATTAAAAATCTCCATCACTAAATCACATTTGTTTATTTAGGCGTTGTATAACTTACTTTTTCTGCATCGATTGTATCACAATTGGTACATCCACATATGAGTTCATTATTGTATGGATTTACTACTTGAAAAGTGGAGTTTGATAATGCATTAATCCATCGTCCTACAAATAAGCCATTCAGTTCATTTAGCTGATACTTCCCGGAATATTTCTACTTTACCCGACCAAAAACTAATAATCTAACTTGATGTTTCTAATATATTTTTTGATGTTTGTTAATAATTACAGAATAGTTCGGACTGATCGAAGAACTCTTGTAAGAAAAACATTTTTATTCCATTTTTTCTCTGATTTTTCAACTGTCTTTTTTTTTTTTTTTGCAACAATATACTTCATTTTTCTGTATCAGTCATGCACTGCAAAAGAAAAAGAATACTTTATTAACAATACCGTTAATAAAGGCCTTTGCACCTTCAGGTAGAAGCGATGTCCGATAGTACCGTACGTCAAGAAATGAATGTATTATACATCGACTAAACAAATGCGTCGTCCTTCCATTCATTCCACTGAACAATTATCACCAATCATTAAAATGAAAGAGATTTCCAGGTATTACAACTACTATAGACATTATTATCATCATCACTGTCATGCTAGCAATTATTAGTAATATCACAATTATCGTATTTGATATAATCATGCCATTATCCGCTTTTAGTTGCTTTTTTTTTTTTTTTGTAAAGTTTAAGGAGGGATAAACAACGGAGAAAGAAAATTCCATTTAACGATCTGTACCAGATACGTTTTCATTTAAGGCATTTGAGGTACTTGATTTAGTTAGAAATTGCAAACGATCGTTTAAATCAATTAATTAATTAAAAGATTAAAGGATGGGAGAAGCTTTTGTCACCTTTCATCACAGTGCATGGTTTTAGTTTAAAGATCACTGAGAGCTAATAATATTCATATCTGTACATTAGGTATTCCATGTCATTAATCTCGAACATTCCTTTATCTCAAGCTGTTGTGTTCATTCTCGAAATGAGTTAGCAATCAAATGTCCTTATTATCTGAGCTACTGTGATTCACAGCAGAGAAACTGCTTGCACTGTGAGAACGACAAAGGTCAAGTGGGGTTCACTGCACTAAAGGACCGATAGATAAACGACCACGGGATTCAAGGAACGGTCTGACTCGTGACCCGACGTGACTCACATGAATTTTTATTTGTCAGAATTTTTGGCTGCAGCACTTCAAATAGAAAGAAAAACGAGCGGGAGTTTGTTCACTGGGCGGCAACAAAGCTTTCGGTTTGGCGTAGTTACGTAGTTTCCGTCACGTGGTTTAAGTTTAGTGGTAGGGTCTTTGTGTTGTGACGGACGTCTCTTGTTGATATGCAGGACAGAAAGTGAGTGTCACTCGAACAACTCTCAGTGTCATTTGTCTGTTCTAATCATTGCTTAATTGGTTGAACTCAAGCATTTCCCTTTTCGAAGCATTAATTAAACAGGTATGACAGGATGCGTAATCTGAAATGTATTCTTTGTTTACCGAATGTATAATTATTTATTGATAGCTATAACTGTTATCGAGACTGTCGTTTTGTCCCTTATAGCATTAATTTCTAATCTTTATCATTTCTTCCTTCAACAAAAATGCATAGCTGTTGCAAACCTTTTTATTGATTAACAAAATATACTAACCTGTTGCTCAATTCGCTCTGCTCAAAATGAATCTGTTCTTTCCTTTGGTTTGTAATCTTTTTCATACCATTTATCTCATTATTTGGATAACTTCAGGCTTCATTAATGAAATGTTATTCAAATCAAATAATTAGTTCTTTTAGTGCAGAACAATGGAAAATTTCGCTAATTCAGCAACTCATACTACGCAACTACCTGTTACACGAGTCAAAAAAATATTTAGACTCTGCTCGAACTGTACGAATATTTCAACTGAAGCCGTGCACCTTTTGACATTTGCAACGGTGTGCTCTTTTTTTTTTTTTTTTTGAAAGCGAGATCAAGGATTTCTCATTTTAACGTTTGAAATAATGACATTTCTTTAACTTTATTCATCTTTCCCTTTTTAATAAATTTCACTTGTATTTTCCTAAAAATTTCAGGAACGCTTCATTGGCTTGCTGGCAAAAGTAGCATATGGACAGGCAGTTTTTGACAAACGAAAAACTCTTCAGCTAAAAGATCTTGGTAATACCTTGCTAAATTTAATAGTTTTTGCATTTTTTTGATTTTAATACACTTGGAGAGGTTTTGTAGGCTACCCTAGAAGTTAAATGAATGAGATTCAAAGAGGAAATTTTTTAGGTAGGGGTTTCGTTTGGTCATTGTGGAACAGGACTTTCTTTTCAGAATTTTGTGTGAAGAATTACGAACCATTTAGTTTTCTGGATGGCACACTGGACGGATGGCCGGAAATTAGCGGAGGAAAACGTGGTTTTGGCAATGGATCAAGCGGCGTTGTGACTACAGGAATATCAGAGAGATTTTTTCCTCTTAATGCAGATGAAAAACAAGAAGACTTGAATGTTGATATTAATGACTCAAATGAAATATTTGGTTTCGATGATTCGTTAGAAGAAAGCGAACCTCCACTCGATGACCAGATTGCTGAAAAGCTAGATAGCGCTGTAACTGCGGAGAAAACAGAAATGGTTGATGTTATTTCAGAAATCCAAAGCCCTAAGCAAGCAGTTTTTGGCCACTACGGTTATTATCTCCCGATGAATTCAACTGTTGCTACGCTAACTCAAACTGCCAATATTGAAGTAGGGGTTGATATGAAGCGTAATAAACAGAAAGAAGAGGAAATGGAAATTGATACATCTACACAGTATGATTCTCTGAATAGGACTGGATTTGAAATGGCAACCGATACAGTCGAAGTTCCGTCGAATATTTAACCTTATAATAATCAAATAGATATTACCAGGTTATATCATGTATTATTAATCAGTGAGCAGGATCATCCAAAAAGACTTAATTTATCTTACACAGAAAAAGTCAGTATATACCTTACTACGGCACTAAGGATAGTTCTCAACTTTCACTGGAAATGTATCGTTAAACTGCTGACCACTGCTCTGTATTATATATTGATTTAGCTTCCTTAGCAGTTAACTATGACCTTTTCTAATATGCAGTTTCTCGAAACTTTATATGTGCTCATTATATGTTTTGCTAGAACAATTTTTTATTAGATGTCCGTTAGGCTATAGGTTAACAACGGACATCTGGCTTCTTTCGCTCTGCATATGCATAAAACTGCTAGTAGCATCGTCGTTTGCTCTTCAGTTCAAATGTGTTTTCATGTTTTGTTCTCCCTATCTGTTCATTTGACTACTTGAACTTTTTAAATTGACTTGAAATTGCATTATCACAGACAGTTTGAAGTAGTTTTTATGATTTTCTTGAATCTTTCACACAAATATTTCAAATTGCTTTATTGAAATGTTGCACTTAGGCTTTTCTCTTATTTAATGGTTTAAAAAGTTGCGAAAATAACAAAGCTTTTTCCATACTGCCTTCAATTTTCAATTTTCCAGATGTGACTGCTATCGTCAGTGGCATTTCACCACTGAATAGTTTATACAACGTTTGTAGATCTATTGTGAAATGCACATCCACATGTTGAGTATTATCTAATGACTTATGAATACCACCTTGTCCATTCTTTAGATTGAAATATACGCTATGAATTTTTGGACCTAGAAATGAAACAGTTATTTTCAGAAAATGAATGATAATTTCTGGAAAAAATGGTAGCTGAATAACCAACATGGAAACAAAGTCAGATTAAGTGAACCGTTCTGATTTGCCAAATTCCATCTATTATATTAAACCCAATTTGAAAAGTACTCCTCGATAATATATCAGAGGCATTACAGCTTTTGAAATCAAGAAGAAAAGGATGCTGGTGAACTTCACTGAAGTTAGCAAGGTGAGAGGTAGGGTACAAATTTTTAAAGCATCATGTAGGAAAGATAAGATCGATAACTTTTGACTGCTTACCTTCTATCACATCAAATTGGTAGATAGCTTGGATTTTCTGTACTATGTCTGGAGTGATGCGTTGTTTAGTTTCATCTATCAACACATCCAAGGACAAAATTGAGGTAGCTGTTCCAAAATTTGCTGTTTCAGCAACATCAGAAAGAAAGAAGTCTTCTAATAATGTCGCTCCTAGATATAGTGACTTCCAAGATTCGAGATCATTTTGGAAATTAAAGTGAAAAATTTTCTTTACAGTATTGTGACGAAAATTTAGGCTTAGCTAAAGAATATGTGGTCGAGACGTATCGACCAATTAATTAAGATAATCATTAGACTAACTGTTTGTATTTTGCCACATGCAGTGTATAAAATTACATATAATTACCTGGATTAACGGAATATTGATCAAAATCCTTCATTCCTTCTTCCCGTAAAATCTCTTCATCGATAACAAAATTTCCGGTGTAATTAGTGCTATCACGAGAAAGTAACGCATATGCAGCATCTGCCATAATTGTTGGCTTACGACAATTCTGTAAAATTGGCTAATGTAGCTGATATCAAAATATATGAATGAAAAAGATTTACGCTATTCCGAAATTCATGAGAAGATTGTATTCCCAGCAAAAATCTTGATCTCTTCTCTACCCAAACTTCTATGAGAACGATTTCATTTCTGCTCATAATTTACAACAAATGTTTGAAAATGTTCAAATTTTATTGGTGTTTTCTTGTTATTATTTCTATTTTTAACTTTTTAATGCTTCTTGTCTCACTCATTTATTTGCCTTTTAACAGAGTGAAGGAATTTTTCAGAAAGAAGAAGTAAAGAGAAACATTTTGAGCAGCTTTGGTCGAAATCATCTCCATCGCAACAGTCCAGATTGCTGTCCTTGGCCACAACGCATTCACAGCAATATTGAAATGTCGCAGCTCTTCGTGCATTCCCAACACACACATTGACATGCCATACTTGGCCATCGTATACGCTAAATGAAGATTGTATGAGTCACACAGATGACAATGACTGTCCTTCTCATCTTCTCATGTCCGTTCTGCTCTTTGCTTCATTTTCCCTGATACTATTAATAGCAGTGAACACAATTCAACGCTTACCTACGTGATTAGTAAACCAGTGTTTAGCCATATTTAGTGGTGGACTGATATTCAGAATGTGAGGATTTCTACCATTTTTCAAGAATGGAATGCATTTTTGGGACCTGCAAAGGTAACCTTATTCAATAAGGATGTGAATTTCAATTTTTTTTTTTTTTTTTACATTTCGGACATTCTTTGAATGAGCAATTTCATTAAACTGATTTCTCTGGATTGTATCATACAGTAAGTACATCGATATTGTTGCTAGACTGTGCACTTACATCAGGAAAGTTCCACGTGTATTGATCTGATGCATCAAATCAAATTTTTTCATTGTTGTTTGTAATGTTCCGGTAAGTGATATAGCACTAGCATTATTAATTAGAATATCGATTCCACCGAATTTTTCGACGGTTTCGGAGACTGCTTTTGTTACTGATTGTTCATCACGTACGTCAACTACGCATGCCAATCCTTTGCCACCTGCCTATAGTCAAAGTTACATAATTAAAACAAGTTGGAAAAAAAAAAATTGTGCGAACGTAGGGAAGAAAGGTAAGCAACCGTAATAAGCAAATCATTATGATGATCGGAGTCTAAGAACTTCAAATAATTGAACATGCGTGAGAAGGAACGTCAGATTGGAGCTGCACTCAGAAGGTCGTGCTGCAGTTAGCCTCAATGTGCATTCAGAAGGTCATGCATGCTGCAGTTAGCCTCAATGTGCATTCAGAAGGTCATGCATGCTGCAGTTAGCCTCAATGTGCATTCAGAAGGTCATGCTGCAGTTAGCCTCAATGTGCATTCAGAAGGTCATGCATGCTGCAGTTAGCCTCAATGTGCATTCAGAAGGTCATGCTGCAGTTAGCCTCAATGTGCATTCAGAAGGTCATGCTGCAGTTAGCCTCAACTTCACGACCGTTTTCCTGATACAAAAAAAAAAAAAAAAAAACAAATAACCTTTTCAATGTCTTCGACAGCTGAATAGATTGTTCCTGGTAGTTTAGGATGTGGCTGGGCAGTTTTTGCAGCCACAACAATATTAGCACCATCTTTTGCTAACTTCAGGGCAATCTCCTTACCAATACCTCGAGAAGCCCCCGTAATGATCACTGTCCGTCCTGCAAACTTCCTGGAAATTCCACATTTCGTATTTAGCTTCAGTACTTTCACATTTCTATTTTGCTATGTACAACTTCTAACTGTATTTTTTTTTTTTTGGATTGATTCACTTTTTAGGGAAAAAAATAATTATAATCTGTTAGCTTTAGCAATTTTTCAATTTTTCGTTAGCAACTCGTATTTACCAGAAATGATTTTTTGAAATTTAATAGTAACTGAATTATTCAGAAAGAAGAAAAACATAACACAAAAATATGAAATAAATGCTGGTCAAGTTTTAGTACCAGCAGCAGTTCACTATCTTTTAATAAGGAAAAAAAAAAGAAAGAAAACGTTTATGAAAGTGTATTGCAGCAAAAGTTAATATAATTTAATAATTGAATCAAGCTGAAAAAGGAAGAAAACAAACAAACCCAGTTGTAATCATCGTTTTTCAGCCTAATGAGAAGCGATCTTGATCACTTCCCACCTCTAACTAATCCTGAAAATTCTATAGATTTGAGGACGGAACCGTTTTATCAGCGAATAGACCTTCTTCATCAATAAGGGAATCAAATCAAAAGAGTAGTGAAAATATGAGGAAGCACAGTTGCATCGAAGTAATGGCGCATATTGACATCAAAGAATTGCGGAAATGTCATAATAATTTCATTCTTCTTCATTATTCTTCACAAATGAAAGTTTTTGGACGGATAAAAGGGAACTTTCCTCTCATTCATTCAGCATTTTGATGCAATTCTCATCGATGAAAAATAGTATTTCCATTGATAAAGTACTAAAATGCTATTAATTTATCATTTTTATGACTAAAATTTCTATCCATCCATGTAATAAAAAGATTTCAAATCAGCCAATTATTTGAAATGTTTACAATATATGAATTAAAAGTGAACTGTAGACGTATTTCTGTGCACCAAGTTGATATGATAAGCCTTATCATTGTAGAAGACAGCTTCTTCAGTTGATTAGCTGATCAGAAGTTAAAACAAACTTTTATGTTGCGGTGATTCAAATGGATTCACTACTCAAGGATGTTAAGCAAGATGCTACATCTAACAGACTTATATGAAAGACATAGTACTACTACTTCTCTATGTGATAATAAAGATTGAAATGAAATCAATATGGATAGTTGTTAAAAATTAAGCATCATCGAATTTAGGCTTCTCATTACTGAATGCAGCAGCGCTTGCGCGGAATAAATCATCGGATTGGAGCTGTGATTGATTCCATGTGCGAATAAATTGTATCGAATCGTCGATAGTATGATCTCGAGAATAGTTCATTGCCAGTTTGGTACCTTGAACAGCAATGGGACTTTTCGTGGCGATAATATCAGCTAACGACAAAGCCGCTGATAGGCATTCTTCGGTGCTATCGAATTGCCGGGATATGAAACCTAAATGCTTACTCATTTGATTCACATAACAACAAAAATATATTATAGGAATAATGGTACCTTACAAAAAGTTTCATCGGCACTAATTGTCACTTTACAATTCCAAGTTGACAATTCTTCAAAGATTCACTATCTGTGTTAAAATTTTCATTATAGTTCGCATGCACTGTTACCGTTAAGTAAATGGATTGCAAATAAAACCAGTGCATACATTTTGCTATTGAATAATAATTTGATAGAATAATTCTTTATCTCGAACAGATTGTTTGTAAGTATGATGACTTCAAACTTTTTTAAATTTGAACCTTAAAGTTTGAAGCATTTAGTTTCTGACGATTGTTTCTTGCTTAATTCTAAAATTATACAGAAAAGTAGATAGGAAAAGCTGTCACAAATGCTTGAAATGATTGATTTTCTTTAAGTTCTCTGTTGCAAACAATCTAAGATAAAAAAGACCCGAGAAATCTTTGTATTTCTGGAATTGACCAAGACCCCGAACTTTATTGGTTATTTTCTGAATTTCGATCCATAACTGATCAGCTATAACGCGATGTTATAACTGATAATTAAATCCAATAGTTTCAATACCTCAGAAACAAAGCCATCGTATGCTATATGCAATCAGAACTTCTAACTGATGCAGTAATTTTCCGGTTCTTTCATTCCTGTTGTTTTACTACAAGTAATCTATATGGTAGTTAACTGACTGAAATTTGGAACTAGCAAAAGTGTTAAACAAGGGAAGCTTATGGCTTTTTACAAAATTATGCGTCGTTTAAAACTTTTTTTTATTTCAAAAATGAAGAAAAAAAAAAAAAAAAACTAACCATATTGCAATGCCTCGGAACTATTAAAATCACGAGCTGTATAAGCAAATTCACGGGTCAAACTGTCATTCCCAACGAGTTTATTGATTCGATTTAAAATACCGACATCTGCAGCTAAGCCAATATCCACCTCCTGAATTTTACCTACCTTTAATTTACCTTTTCTTACCTTACTCTCTCTTACCTTACTCTCGACAACTAACTAACTTTCACAGAGAAGACTGCATCCTTTGAAGCATAGCGTATGTCAGCCGCTGCTGCGAGACTGATTCCTGCCCCGATACAGTGACCGTGAATCGCTGCGATCACCGGTTTTGGACATTTCTCCAACGATGTGAAGCTATCTTGACATGTAGCTATCAGCTCACGAAGTTTCAACGACTTACGACCAGTGTCCAACGTGTTGTTCCGGATAATAGCCGAAAGTTGCTGGAAATTGTTGAAGGAATAAAATTTCCATTCTTTCTACATTTTCAAAATGCATATGTTAAATATAGCAAGAAATTGCAATCATACAGGAAAGATAATGAAAACTAAAAATTGGAACAATTAAAAGAACAGACGTCAGATCCAGCTTTGATATTGATTCCGGCACAAAACGATTTTCCGACTGCAGACAGTACAATTGAACGACACTTAGAATTGATTGCTAAATGATCGAAAACACTTCGAAGTTCTCTAAAATATGAAAGTCAATTATTTTTGCTGCTTAATAATGTGAAAACAGAAATATATTTTAAAATAAAAATTGAATTTTTAGCACTCTAAAATATATCAGTGAACCTCCAAAATGGGAGAGTGAAAGCGTTCCTTATTTCAGGTCGATTTAATTTAACATTGAAAACGTGTTCGCTGTGTTGAATGACCTCGATAAAATCCAAACCAGAAAACGTCGATAGTGTAAACTTCTTTGTATTCCGGAAATTTGAAAATTGTTGTAAAACAGATATCTTTTTGTTCATCTAACTGGAAAAATTGATTTCAAAGCTATTTGATAGGATTAACAAACAAAAGTGAGCCTTTCTGATCTGTGAGATAGAAATCGGATCTAACAACCAGAAAACCAGAAATCAGCGCCATAATGAGATGAACGGATAGAACAAGCAGTAAAAATGAAGGATTTTCATTTCGCAGATAAATTTGGATAATTAAATTCTGCAATAAAAACAAAAAGGACCGTCCTGTATGGATTATATTGCGGGACAAATGACATATCATTAAATCGCGGGTACAAGAAGATTTTGGACTTTGTACCGTGGTCGTTCGTAGTTGCCAATAGCAGTGAATTTCATATGGGAAGAAGAGGGTAAAGGATGGGCTGATGGTTGGGAAGACCTGCGATGATAGGGTATCAGCAGAGAAGGAACTGGTATTGGCGAGAAGTACCTGCGATGATAAGCTACCGGCAGAGAAGGGACTGGTATTGGCGAGAAGTACCCGCGATGATAAGGTATCGGTAGAGAAGGGAGTGGTGTTGGGGAGAAGTACCCGCGATGATAAGGTACCGGTAGAGAAGGGAGTGGTGTTGGGGAGAAGTACCCGGGATGATAAGGTACCATCAGTAAAGTCGTCTGATGGTATGTTAATGTTGCTGACCGATGACACTGGCACATACCGGATGGAGTGTAGCAACAGATGACACTGCTGTATGAATTGTCGAAATCGTCTATTGCCGGTTTTTTGGACAAAAGAAATAGATGACAGGCGAATTGTACTCTATCTAAACTGTAGGCAATATTGTATAAATTGTGCATTTCAAGGAAATGCAATGCCGGTTGTAAATGTTTTCTGTGTTAGCTGTTCCGGATTCGTCTTATTCCAACAGACAGTTAGTTACAGCTTCAAAAAAAAAAAAAGAATTTATTACTGAAAAATTTGGAATATGCGCAACGATAACTACTGACTTCACTTCATTTGTTGTTAAACAGTGGACCGTAACCGGAGAAGAAAGAAGAAAATGATGAGAGGAAGTTGCTGGATGTGTAATATGGAAGTTGACGAGCTGATTCCAGAAAGCATAGTGTATCGGAAGATTGCTGATCTCTTCAAGGACATCCCGGTGATACGGAAAGTTATGTTCAAAATTCGGAAGACTCAATCTACAATTCATTCAGGTCACTTTATTTTGCATTAACATTTTCAATCAGAACTGTATATTCGTTTTACTATTTTCAGCTATTTCTAAGTTTCAAAGAGCAAACTGTCAAATCAGTAGGTGAAATTTTATTCTGAAAAAGTCGACTACTTTCTATAATTCATTTTCAAATTTTATCCTACTCATCACGTCCGTCAATAAGTAATCTACACCTTATCAGAAGTAAGCTTTCCTTATCAAAAGTAAGCTTTCCTATTGATAACTATTTAGAACATATCATTTGCACTCTTAAATAACGACCCATTACTCAATTGACACTTCCAGTGATCTGAATGCCTTTTTTTTTTTGCTCAGACATAGCCAATGAAGTCCTTAATACTCGTCACTCGTTACCTTAGGATAACTTTTTGGACCTATGAAACTTTACTTTCAACTTGAGTCTGCTATTCTTGGCAACTAGAAATCTATCTGCATGCATGCAGTATTCTCAAGTTCTAACCATCTGGATCACAAAAAAATTAGCCTTTGGGATATTTATTTATTTTGTGCACTGCTAGTTAAACCAATACAAAAATTTCTGATTTATATGAAAGTAATAAAGCATACATGTACACGGTGACAACGCAAAGAGACAAATCATATTGTCAACATGATCAAATAAAAATGACCAGATGTTTAAAGTGGTCATTGTCCAGTCAACTATGGAAACATGACAAAAAGCTGGTTTTGATTACATCTGTAATTGCAAAAATCATTAATAGTGATGTTGGGTAAAGAACGTCACTAGGATAACAAAGGTAGCAATCAATTTGTAAAATCCACAAATAATTTTTCCAAGATAATCTTCCCTTTTAAGTTCGATCTATCTTGACAGATGATACAGGAGATGTATTCATGAGATGATGATATTGTTTTGCATATTGTCAGATAGATACAGATTATCAGATTATCAGTAGAAACAAGTCTATGAAGAAATTTTCAATATTTCACACTTTCGATAAGTGATAAGTACATAAATTATAAAAAGAGATTAAGATTGAAAATTTAAAAAATATATCATGAAAATGAAAATGGTTAAACATTTGTTTGCAATTCAAATTCGTGAAAAAATAGCTTTGTGCAATTCAATATTTGAGTTATTTTTGGGTTTCATTTTTGATTCTGTATGAAGCAGTCACGAAATTAGTGTAAAACTTTGTTACTTGAGGTACTCTGGGAAAAAAAAGTTTATATAGTTGTAGTATAACATTTCGGAAATGAGTGATGAGAAAATGGGAAAGGGTAGGAGCAGAGAACAGATATTTCAGAAAATCCTCGTAAATTTTCCGTCTCAAATTTCGACTTCTCAACAAAAACATATCTCTCTGGAATTTTGAATTATACTTAAAAGTTGCATCGTCGAGCAGAAAAGATACCTGAAGGAAAAAGAGGAAGAGATGAAATTCAACCCTGATCTTAGACTGAAAGATAAAACTGAAACATCTAATTGATAGGAGAAGCACCATAATTAATTCTGAACCATTATTAGCTCGGAAAACGGCTTTGGAAGTGAAACATACAGACTGGGAATAGCATATTTCCAGAAAAAGAAAAAACATTAGTTTAGTTTAAAAGTGTCAAAGAATTCATGGACAGTTGGTGATTTTTCCTCTTTAGGTTCGTAATTATCTATGCTGCATTTCGAGCGAATCGAGATTTGCCACGAGCCAGCTCCTCTTGTATATCTTCTACGCTGCGACCCTTCGTTTCCGGAACATACATCCAGGTGAAGAATGCGAAAAATGCCAGAAAACCAGAGAATATCAAAAAGGTGTACTGGTGTAACATTTGCTGAAAATTTTCAACTCGTTTGTGTGACATCGTAAATATAATCTACAGTAGGAGGACATTATATATCAAAGAATAATTCTTTGATACATAATGCATATTTCACTTTTAATATCTATCCTGGAACAATGACACAAAGTAATGTTAAGTATTAACAGATTTTGCGAATTGTCGAATGTTCCTACGATTATTATCAAAGAAATAAAAAATAGAATTGTCGCTTACGTTAAGAAATTCGAATGATGTTCCGACGAGGAAGTTTGCAGTCCAATTAGTTGCTGCGGCAACCGAATTTGCAGCACCACGTGCACCCGATGAGAAAAGTTCCGAGACGAAGAACCATGGAATGGAACCTAAAAAAAAGAAATAAATAACAGTAATGGCGAGACTTTTAGTAATAATGAATGACCATTCCGTATTTGTAAGAATCTGTAAGAAACAAAAGAAAGAAATAAAAGGCTTCCGAATATTTTAATGCTGGAAAAATCTTACCTGGACCAGTCGCAAAGAAAATCACAAAGAGGAAAACGAATAAGCAAGCAGGATAAGATGCCCACTTATTGCCTGCTTCATCTGATGTCTGCAAAATGTTACTCGCTTTCATTTCTTGCTGCATAAATTTTATTCAAGAATTTCTATCATTAAAATACTCACGAAGAGGAAAAGGAACAAACAAGTGGAATAAGCTGCCCACTTGTTGCTTGCTTGATCTGATTCTATAAAAATACACTTACGTAGACTGAGATGAAGATTACAATAGCGATGGAAGCGAAAAACATTCCAATCAAACCAATCATAAGCAACATGACACGCCCGCATTTCGGATGGTCCACCTAAATTAGCAACATCTTTTTGAATAATAAAACCCAAAAGTCAAGTCAAAAAAGCTAAACTTGACAAAAGCCATGAAGAATTTCGAAAGTTTTCCGACAAAGCTCTTTGACAAAATCTCCGATAGTACATTTAAAGCTCATTACTTCTAATATTATTTCATGCCAACATTTAGGAACTTCGAATTAGTTCATTCTTCTAGTGCACCCTACTTATTTCAGAATTATTAAACTGTGCCTCTGCGATCACAGAGTAAAAATTTTTTTTGTAAAACTCAATAATGTACTCCGAGAATAGTGAAGGGAAACTGACCAAATAAACAGAAATAACAGTCATGAGGACGTTAATTAAACCCATCACCAGTGTAGCATACACGGCTTTATCACCCAGTCCAGCACCTTCGAAAATCATTGTGGAGAAAAACATGGCGACATTGATACCAGAAAACTGTTGCGCTAACATCATCAAAATTCCAATAATCATGGGCCAAAGTAGATTACCACGAAACAAATCGAAGATACCCATCTTGGGAACAGCGTTTATCTTAGCTTGCTCTTCTTTCATCATGTCAATTTCAGCTTTCACCTGAAAAGTTCATCATAACTCAGTTCTCTTTTCTTAGATATACTATATACATTTAAAAGACAATTCCAAACTAATAATACTAACCTTGCGACAGTAACAATTCTTGTCAAAAACTTTTCACAACCTTGAAATACTAAAAATATAGGAAAAAACATTACGTTGTCCTTTCCTCGTAACTTTTTCAGATCCTCTTCAGCTTGTTCGGCACGATTTTTTACAATCAAACTGTATTTTGGCGATTCCGGAATCATTGGCAGCGTAGCTATTTGGAAAACCACTGGTACCACGGTAAATCCTGCAGTACTTCGAAACTGAGTAGCTAACTGATAAGTTTATAAGTAAACATAAGCTTATGCAGAGTTTATGTTATGTATCAATCAAAAAATAATCAATTACAACCAAATCTTTTTTCTTCTACTTTCTTATAACAACAAAATGAACAAACAGCATATTTTACGGAAGAAAAAAATCGAAACCAAAACTCACCAAAAACCATGGGCCACAATTTCGCTGATCCAAGAATTTGTGGTAAACCGATAATCTGCGAGAATAAAATGCCGATAGTGACTAAAAGTTGCGCGACACTACCTAGCGAACCACGTAAATTGACTGGTGATATCTCGGTAAGATACATTGGTACTAAACCTGAGCTTAAACCTGAAATCACACAAAGAAGTACGTAATTAACGGTTTCATAAATTGGCAACAGTTCCGCGATGCATTTAGAAAAAAAAAAAAAAATTATTTGTCAATATATCAATATCACCAATGCTACTAGTTGTTGTTTTGTCAATAATTAGATAAGCAAATGAAAAATAAATACAGATTATGAAGTATCGAAATGCTTACCAGAATTAATACCAATAACAAGACGTCCAACGATGAGTAACGGATACATATTAACATAATAAGCCAAAGTCATTAGTACAGCAGCCAAGACAGCCACAACATTATTAAATACCATAGCGCCCTTACGGCCTAACCAATCAGCCATTTTACCTGATCCCAACCCACCAATCATACCACCCACAGCGAATATACCAACTGCTATGGCCCTGAAAGACTCCAACATGCCATTACAGTTAAAATACTATCTGGTAAAACCTCGAAATGTAAGGAATGAATGTTTGAATTTTAGTTAAATTTGTTCAAATCTGATTTCAACGTTTTTCTACCAAATTACAAAAACCTGCCATAATCTAACTATATAGTACCACTGTTTCTCGAATTCGAGTTTTTTTCTCAGCAAAAAATGATTTATTTTCAGCGAGGAATAATTTATTAAAAATAATAATTATTAT